GCTCGGCACGCAGGCCTCGAGGTCTTTGATGTTTTAGGGTGGTTTAAAGTGCAATCAACTCCCACTGTGACTAATTTTAAAAACAAAACCAAAAGAAAGTGTTCACTTATTTGTGTGTGTGTGTGTGTGGAAATAATCACACTGGCGATTCTCTCAAGCACGTTACGAGTGTTGTGTGTGATAACGCGGTCCTGCCAGGTGGGAAGGTGGAAAGAGCTCCTTTCCACGGAGGATGGCTTGACGGGTGACCGCCGGCCCCGCCCGCGCTCCTGCGCGGGGTCCAGGAGAACGCTTCTGCGAGGAGCGCACTCATGCACACATCAATTATTAATTCCGATCTGAGGCTCTGAGCGAAAGAAAGCTAAAGATAATGTCATGAAGATGAATGAATTATTCTCATTTACAGGTTGGGGAATCGTTTCTTTGTTCAGGGACTTCTTGACTGCACAATGTTGGGTTTAATGACCTGTGGATGGGGGAGTTTTAAGTTAAGGAGAATGAATTACCGTATGTTAGGGAGGGCACTGGGGTTTGCACAAGATTGTCAGGTAGAAGACGTGTGTTACTGTGGGGTGCTACTGAATTCCTTCAGGTGATTTCTTCAGGTGACAGTGAAAATGCTGCTCCCCTCTTCAGATAGATTTCTTGGGTCATAGTCTCTGCTTATTTGTAATCATCAGTTTGCTGTCTAATCATGGAAATTATGTTTATATGAAAGTTCCTTTCAAAGTAACTTAGGTTAAATTGTCCTTTATTCACTTAATGCCTTTTGAATTAATTTAAATGCTTTGTTATTGACACTGTCCTTTTATGTATCATTTCAACTGAGCTTCCCAGAAAGCCTGCGGGATTTTCGGGTAGCACGGTTATCCGCATTCTGCTCACGAGAACACAGAGTGACGGAATGGTGGGATGACGTGTAAAATAAAAAAGCCAGGTGGCTGTCCAGGATGATACTGTCAAAGAGGTATAATGCGACCCAAAGGGTGAGTCGCGTGTGCAATCATTTACTTGTGTGTGCTACATGAGTGGGCGCTGACTCCTGGTGACCCCATGGACATGCGATGTCCACCCTGTCCTGTCCTCATGGCCTTGCTCCGCTCCTGAACACTCAGCCCACGGCTCCTTTTACGGGGACCATCTGTCTCCTGTTTGGTCTCCTCTTTCCCCACTGCCTTCCTTCTCTTTCCCAGAGAACCTGCCTTCTCATGACGTGCCCGGAGAGGACAGCTTCTGTTTTGTCGTCTTGTTCCCCTCCCCCTCCCCCTCCCCCTCCCCCTCCTCCTCCTCCCCCTCCCCCTCCTCCTCCTCCTTCTCCTCAACTTCTTTCTTCTTCTTTTGCCTCCAGAAGTGTTTTGGGGCTTCTTTGGATCTAGGACCAACTGGCTCACTTTTCCGGTGGTCAGGATTCCTGCAGAGCTCTCCCCCAACCCCGTGTTCCAAAGGAATCAAATTTCTTCTGAGTCTTCTTCCCTATTCACCTTTCATAGCCTTAAGGGACAGGTGAAATTAATTTTAATAGCACATTCCCTACTACATCCAACACTCTGTTATTTAAATGTGGAACCATCACAAAACTGCTACTGATATATTTTATATTCTTTTTTTCATACTACATCTTCAAAACCTTCTGTGTACTTTACACATAAAACACATGTCAGTTCAGACTGCTCATATTTCACGTGCTCAGTAGCTACTTGTGACAAAGTGGCTACCTATTTGGACAGAGCATGCCTAATGTTTGAGATTCTTAAACATTTTTTTTCTCACCGTTTTCCTCTAGAGCCATGCAATCCTCTGAACTCTCTCTCCATTCTTTCTTTGGGTCTCCACACCCAAAACTTTAATTCATGCATCTCATCTTCACCCAAGTAACCGCAGAACCTTCCCCGCCGAGTGTATTTGCCCAACTCTGACCTTGAATCTGTAATTTCTGTTGCGTTTAAAGTATGATTTTAGGTCCAAAGGGGGAATGTGCTCGTGTTTTTCTATTAAAATGCAGAAAATGAGATTGTTAGAAAAAAGGTCAGAGAGCTATTATTTCTTAATGATTACTGTTCATATCATATATCGTGAAATTCTTTATGATGCGGCTAACAATTTACATTCTAAAGTGAATATATTGCTATTAGGCGTATTTTTAGGTGAAAAAGGAAATCCAATTCACTCTTACTGGAGAAAAAGTACATTTATACATAGAGCATAGAAATTAGGTTCTTCTTTGTTAAAAATAAAAAGCATTTTATTACCTAAGGGAAAAAACAAGTTTAAAAATACTGTGAAGTTTCAGCTATGATCAAAGTTAAATAAATGTGTCTTTTCAGGCATTAAACTATATCTTCAAACTGCATACAAAATGAGAGCAACCTGAGGGCTTTTTTTTTCAACGAGAAAGACCCCGGTAATAGGATAAAAATGGAAATGGATTTTATAGCACTTCCCAAGGCTTATATTTGATAAGACTTTATAAAGAATTTTGAAAGATGAAATACACTGGCGACATCAAAGTCCGCACATGCACTGCAAAGGATTTTCTGCTATGAAGCGTGTAAATTGGATCGACGTAGCAAATGGGAATCTCATTTCTTAGATTCCTCAGATTGCGCCTACAGAAAAAATAATTAATTCGATTTGATTAATACGATTGAGTAGTTTAAACCTTTTTATTTAAACAAGGTAAAGCAATTATTTTGTCATTTTCAAAGCTTCCCTAAATAGTCAGCCTTTGCTCTCAGAATTTATTGGAATTGCATAAGCATGTCACTGTGTATTAGAGACTGCAGGCGTCCGTGCTGCCTGCAGACAAATTCTTTCACTCGGGACACTGTGTTAAGTTCTAGGTTTACCTTCAACACAGCACACAGAAAATGAAGCTAAAAGATGCTGGGACAGGGTGTGAGAGGCAGGAGTTTAGGAGGAGTCCCTAGTTCTCAGTGCTGTGAGGGGTAAAGGACGAGCGAATGAGGAATTAGGGCTGAGATGCAATCTTCAGGAAAGACCACCGAGTCGGTGCACAGGGGCTCTGGAGCTGGCCTCGTTCCAGACCGAGGGCAAGGGTTCGACCACCGGGCGAATGAGTCCTTGTCTCCTGAAAGGGGCAGAGTGATCTGGGCAGCACAGTGCACACACAAACCAGCCTCTTTAATACAACACAGAATGTAATACAACACAGTACCACGCAATGTAATACAACAATACAGAACAAGTCCATAGCCCTGTCGTGACACCAAGAGGTGTCACAGGAAGGCGCCCCTCTTCCTCAACTTTCCTGGTCTGTCCTATTGCAAGCTGCTGACGTGCTTTGAGGAGTGTGACCCATCCTTGCAGGAATCCTCCAGTGCAACAATATATTTTTATATTTCATAAGGGTAAAATGTCATATTGCTTGATGTCTATAGTTTCCACTATCATTTTCTTAAGAAACATGAGCACACGTGAACCATGAAGGTTAACAGATGTCTACCATACAACTTATTACTAGGATGTTTTTTTCAAACATAACATAATGTTGTGTTTTTTAAAGCAGACATGAAAATAAGTGTCTGTAGTGTGTAGTGAACAGGGACATAATTATCCACTCTATTTGCAAGAGATTGCAAATGAAGCAATGACTCCAGAAACAAAGAAAAGAATTTAAAAACAAATCAGGGTCATTGCACAAATAAAGATGCTGGTTATTTTAAACAACTACTGGAATCTCATATCAAAATCTAATTCAGGTTAGGAGGGAAGGAAGCGGGGAGGAAGGGAGGGAGGAAGCAAGGGGGAAAAAAGAACAAATGATGAAAAGGCTACAGAATCTTAGAAAAGGAAAAATCACTTAGTAGTAAGTGCACAATAATGCTAGCAAGTGAAAACACAGTGAGTAGAATACTCGGAAAACCTGCAGTAAACAATAAATGGAACGAGTTCCATCATCCTCAGATGGTGCAGTCAGGTGGGGTGTTGCACGCTGGAGCTTCCGGCCGGGTCCTGGACGAACAGCCGGCACGGAAGCCCTCCCCACCCCGTGGTGCTCAGCGACGGTGTCGCCGCTGTCATCTGTACAGGACGCAGCGCACTCGCTGCAGCTGCGGGGCCGCGACTTGGGCCTCCGGAGGCGGGCTGATCCGGTCCGTCAGCCACGTCAGTTTCTCCAGAGTTAAAACACTAAAGTAGGTGATTTCTCCAGTATAAAAATAATTCTTTAGGAAAGAATTATTAAACAAGGCTATAAATAACATCTAGTGTATTTTTGAGCTATAGTCATCCATGATTTTTTTAAAGTCGAAAGGATTAAAAACAACTTTCAAACCACCTTACATGGAGGCCTGTTTCCGTGTCGTCAGTCCGTCGTTTCTGGATGACAAAGGGGCAGACAGTCAGGTGTCATGAAGACAGAAACACTCCGGAATCTCTTGTGAAGTACATAAATAGTGCCCCAAGGTATGAAGACAGCCCCCAAGTCCAGAAAAGCACGTATGTTATTTTCGATCCATGAAATTAGAGGAAGAAGATGCCAGGAGACAGAGAAATCATGTTTGAAAAGACAAAGATTGCCTGAGATTTCACACGGATTAAAAAGAACGACAAAAAGGGAGAAAAGCACAGACAGGAAAGGGGCGGGGTGTCTGAAGGGACAGAGCTGCGTCTGCCAAGGAGCTGCGGGGGTTTCTTCATTGCCTGCCCCCCATCAGCCAGCACACACACACGGCAACGCGCAGACCCACAGCCTCGGGGCGCAGAGCGGAGGCGCGTTCTCACTCCAGAACGGGGCCTCCTCTGCAAAGGCACCCAGCAAACTCTCTGAGCTCTGGAACTAGAGAATGAGTGTCTATTGTTGATTACGGCTCTGCTTGATGCTGCCAAGGTGAGATAATGTTCAACATGGCATTTACCATCAACACTGGAAATCATGAAACTCGATTATTTCTAATTATTTGTGGCTTTGAGGAGAGCGGAACATGAAAGAGAACCCGCACTGTATCAGTGGATAGCAATTCTATTAAAACACGTACTGAGTGCTGGCCTCGGCAGCACGTCTACCAAAACTGGAATGATACAGAGGAGATGAGCATGGCCCCTGCGCAAGGATGACGTGCAAAACATGTATTGAGAGCTCTTCCATATTACCTTCTTTTAGATGTTCTCTTACAATCTATTCTATTCCTCTTCTGGTAATTAATTCCTTGGAAGAACTGCAGCCTGGGGTTGTCCCTCCGAAAGACAAGGTTTAGGGATCCCTGTCCACCGCCCCTCTGTCCTCAGGGCCTGTGACGGTAGAGATCACATTTCACTCCTGGGGTGGGGTTAGAGAAGGGGCGGATACAATGTGCCCAGCCACATAATTAACGAAACCTCCTTTCTGAAGTGGAAATGACACTCCTCTTCCTCCTATCTCAATGTATTTATTTGTTCAGTTGCTGTGACTGATTGTCAGCCGCTGCAGGTCTGCCCCAGGATGCCCTGGCGGCGGGACAGGCAGGCCTGGAGGCAAACGGGGGTGGGGGGTGGGGTGGGAGGGGAAGAGATGGAGACAGGGGCCAGGAGAAGCGAAATGAAATGGGAGGGGACTCCACCTCCCCCCGGCAAACTTCGCTAACGGGAGACCCTCTCCCAGTAGGGTTACCAACCACTGATCCTGATTTTTATTTCAGATGCTGGTTATTGCCAGCATCTGGGTAACCTGGTAACCCCAACACTTCAAGAAATATTCTTAAAACTACTATGTCTTGAACTAGCAAGTAAAACCAAATGCTATGAAGGAGTAGTTTCTTATCATGTAATTTGGGTAATATTGAAGATTGAATCTGATGACATATCCAAAGCCATTAAATCTACCAGAACTAGCCTACGTATTGTTCATTTTAGTCTAATTCTATGCCCAGAGGACTATAAAGGTGACCCTACACCGTACATATATATATGTATATATATATGTATGTATATATATATATGTATGTATATATATGTATATGTATATATATATATATATATACTACATGCATTATTTTAATGCCCTAGTTGTGATAATTACAACAACTGAAACTCAGTAAATTAACATTGGGGAATAAGGAAGAATATGGAGATGCTCAAGCCATCACGGTGTATCTTATTTTTTAAACACTTTATTAGTATATAATTTACATACCATAGTATTCACCCATTTAGCTGAGTAATGGCTTTTAGCATAGTCACAGAGGTGTACAACCATAATCTAATCTCAGAACATTTTCTTTACCATACAAAGAAGTCTCACATCCATCAGCTGTCATTTGCATTCCTACCTGACTCACACCCCCCTAGCCAATAAGAACCCACTTCCTGTCTGCTTGTCTGTTTATTCTGGACCTTTCTCATAAATGGAATCATGTAATAGTCTTCTGTTTCTTGGTTCTTTCAATTGGCATAAAGTTTTTTTTTGTGGTTTAATTCATGTTGTACAATGTATCTACAATACATTTCTTCTTATTACTAAATAATGTCCCTCACATTTTATTTACCTGTTTAGATTATGTCTACATTTTGGCTAGAATGCATCATGCTGCACAGTGGTGCACCTTGAAGAATGAAACAACAGAATTCAGACAGACTTTTCACGCACTGCTCCGCCTCGGGCACAACCCATTTCCCCACATAAATCTGTTGCAAACATACAAGTCGTGGTTTTATTAAGATATGGTTTGACTTCCACTCCATAGGACCCATCTGGTTTCACTTCTTGTAAAGTGTGTGGGACCTAATGCCATTCTTCAAAGACTTTCTTATTTTTGTCCAAGTATTTTGTGATATAGTAGGTGTCTGAGAATTTTTTTTTAGTCTAGCATCTAATATTTTTCTGAGTCCTAGATTTGTTAATAGTGTCGAGCTATGATTTTCCAGAAGTTAAAAGCAATAATCTCACACAGATATGAAAGTAGCATGTGTCAAAATTGTTCTTGAATCATGAATAAGGGTGCCGCACACCACGTAGTAAAAGTGGCTTCAGGGGCATTTTGGAAACTCAGAGTTTATAGGCATCAAATGAGAGAATGTGAGAGTGAGGTGCTGTCAGTCACCAAACTGGGCAAGGACAAAAGAAGCATAATCTTTGGGACCGTCTTTTCTTCTCAACAAAAATATTTAGGTGGTGATATAACTAGGTGATATCTTCTCTCTCATTAACCTGTAAATACAGAATCAAACCCAAGTACATTTTCCTGGAAAATAAAATAACTCATGCAAGTTCCCTTGTAAGACACTGAAAAATATCCTGGCACTCTCACCTTATCTTTCTTCTGACTTTTGGACAATTTTCCTTGATTAATGCTGTAGGAAATAGGTAGATAAAACTAATGTTCAAAACTTTGTTTCTATTGATTTTTTTTTCATTTTTATGTTGTATTCTTATGTGTTTTGGTAATCATTGAAGCAGTAATACCATATTGCCTTGAAGAAAGCTATTTTATTTTATTTGTTAAGTTTGCATGACTTTTTCTATATTCTGTGTGTTCTTGGAAGTTTTCATTTCACCATTCAGATTTACTTACTATAAAAAAGGAGTATCTCAGCCTAGCTGGTGTGACTCAGTGGATTGAGTGCTGGCCTGCGAATCAAGGCGTCGCCAGTTCTATTTCCAGTCAGGGCACATGCCTGGGTTGTGGGCCAGGTCCCTGGTAGAGGGTGAGTGGAGAAGCAACCACACATTGATATTTCTCTTCCCCTCTTTCTCCCTCCTTTCCCTTCTCTAAAATAAATAAATAAAAATCTTTAAAAAAAGAGTTATCTCACTTATAGCTAAGCAACAAATCTTAGCATAAAAAAAGAAAATCATGAGACTATTGTAAATAAATTGGAAACCTCAACATCTGTATTTGTAACTGATCACTCCATTGTCCAGGGCATTATTAAAGGTCTATCCTATCATGTTTAATAAGCAAAAGAATGACAAAAATAATAATAACATGTAAAGAGTAAAACCCAGCGTACTTATTAAACCAATGTGTGATATGCGGTTACTTTTGTATTTTTGTCCTAAAAAAATGATGTGGAGGAGAATTCTGAAGTGTAAGCCTGAAGAATGATTGACTTGGGAAGTTTATAAGTCACACGAAGTCACATGAAGTCACATGGCTGTGAACAACAGGCACTGGTCCAGGGACACACCGGCGCGTGCAGACCGCGCCCTGAAACTGATAGGAAATCCAAACACCGAGCGGAAGCACTCGGCGCAGGCCCTCCAAGGAGCACCAGCCCAGGCAGGGGCGCTGGTCCCCATCGACCCAGCTGGGCTGCTCCCTTCGTTTTCTAAGTTGACAAAGAAACACCCAGCTACGCTTGGAAGCGCAAGTACCGTTGATGTAGCCTCTTTCAACCCATCGGCTTTTCTCTACAACTTGCTGTAGGTAAACCCAGAGCAAACTCCAGACTCCTCCAGGAACAGGACAACAAAAGAAAGACGTGGAGCAACACTTTCAACCTCCTCTCCCAGCAGACAGATGACTAGACACAACCCAATTAGCCCCCAAGGAAATATGGCGTTACTTGGAGGGGGGCCGCTGAAGTACCCTTAGGAATAGACAGGAGGACCCTGGGCCCAGCCTCTATGCTGTTTCGTGAAAAAGTCATGTCTTTCACTTGGAGACCCACTGTGTCTGAGAATTAAATAGACGCTATAATTTTATTGCTTCACTTGCTTCCCCTTTTACAGTGGTTTTGGGGAATTATAATTTCCTCAGCTCCTTTTTTCCCCCAAAAAGTAATACATTTATATTAAAAATTTAAAAAAGGGTGTGAAAGGTTCCATTTTTCTCCCTTCGGTGCCACCGTTTTGTGGCTGCTGCGGGACCGGGGCAGACACGGCTCCCACCGTTTCGTGGCGGCAGGACCTCCGCGAAGCTCAGCTGCAGACCACGTGTTCCTTTGGAAGCGTCTCCATGGAAACCGCGTGGTCCCCGTGCAAATCCAGGAGAGTCTCCATGTCTCTCTCTGCTCAGACTCTCTGAACTCTGCCGCTGAGGCAAGGGGTCCAACGTGAAGCCACACGCCACACAGCAACCTTACCGGAGGCCCATTTTTCTGTGGCTGATCCAAGTTCATCAGTGGACCCGTCGTGACAAGGGCGGAGCGAACGGAAAGGCTCCGTGGAGACGCCCCGATGCGCCAGTGTCTGTGAAGGCTGGGAAGAGCCTGTGTAGTGTTAGTTAACAGAAGTTGGAAGTGGCGCCTTTTATTTCTCGGTGTATTCAGGGGTTGAAACCGGATTAAGGGGTTATTAAACACAGGTTAAATTCTTTGTCCCTCCTGTAGATAATCTGCACAGTCCCCCAGAATGAATGGGAAGAGGAAAACCCAAAAAACCTCAGATCAGAAATCAGTTATAATTTAGAACCAATGCTGATGATTCCAAGACCTCGGGAACTCATAGAGGATGGAGTAAGGGAGCGTGTGGGCGACATTCCGATAGAGGTTACACGGGTAGGTGGAATTGAGTGTTTGGTTTTGATTCCATAAAATACAAACGTGTTTTATGGCCAGAGCTGTGCGGTGACAGTGCTGGAAACAAGTGGCCGGAAAGGAAAGGAAAAAAAAATTTGGTTCCTACCAGATCACAGGCCTTTGGCTTCCCTGAAAATTTGGGAATTGTTTCTGAGAAGTCAGAAGAATTCTAGAAAGGAGAAAGGACATTGCCTAAATTATATTTCACAAGCATAACTGTTTGCTGTGCAAAGAAGAATAAAACAATAGCAACATTTCAGTCAAAGGGGGCACCCCTTCTTAGGAGGAGCATTACAAATCGCTAAGGCCCAGCTGCCTAACCCTTAGCTCTACTGAAAAGAATTGAAAACATGACAAAGTGGAATGTGGGTGCCGTTTGAAGAAAAGATTAGACTATCAAAGGGAAACAACAACTGTAATTTAAAAACTGATTCTCAAACTTGTCACCCTACACTGAACCAGGGATTAATGCAGTTCCCCCAGAGAACTCAGAGGGACCTGGCGATCCTCGAGGATCCGGGGGCCCTAGGGATGGAATTTGAGCTGTAGAGGCCAGTCAGAGGCGAGCCTGTAGCCACGCAAGGACGTCAGTGGCACCAGATTCACCAAATCAGCTGAACGTTGCATGTTCCCCTCCTACAAGCTTAGCAACTCA